GTAGGTGCATGTAAGCAACTTTTAATCGACCGATGCTAACTGAAATTTGCGGCGTTACGATCAATGACAAAAGTTTTGTCTTTCCGAGAATTGACCCTGAAAGGCGCGTGTAAAGGCTTTCTGACCGCATCGACGCGCACAGAAACATAGTCACATTTAGCAAGTTCGGGATGTTCCTGGGTAGGCTTGCAAGTTTGTCGAGTAGGTGAAGGACGGATATCACTCATGTATTGGCGAAGGCAGGAAGCGTAGAAATAAGCGTAGGAATTAGGGTCCGTTTCACCAGTTGTTGCCGAGTCGACTACCATTTCACCTGGAAGAAGTAAGTTAGTGCCGAAGACGAGTTCAGCGGCTGTGCAGCCCAAGTCTTCTTTAACAGTATTGCGTATACTTAGAAGAATGAGTGAGGGGCCCTTCGACCAGTGTGTGCTAGAGGAGACTCTCAGCAATGCCTTAAGTTGTCGATGGAAGCGTTCGACCATGCCGTTGGCAGCCGGATGGCATGCAGTTGTTCGGCAGTGATCCGTACCAAGTAGTCGTTTGAGATCATGAAAAAGTGTTGAAGTGAATTGTGGACCTCGGTTAGTGGTAATGATAGCGGGTACACCGAATGTAGCGATCCAGCTGTCGACAAAGTTTCTAGCAACTTTTTCGGCAGAGGTGCCGTTGATCGGAATGGCCATGGGCCAGCGTGTGAAACGGTCGACACAGGTGAGTATGTGTGTGAAACCTCTGGACGGGGGCAACCGTCCAACCAGGTCAGTATGTACATTTCGAAAGCGTGAGTCGGGAAGCTGAAAAACACTGGTTGGAGAAATGGTGTGTTGGTGGATCTTGCTCTTCTGACAGTCAAGACATTGCTTGGCCCAAGTGTGTATCTCCTTCTTCATATTCGGCCAAACGTATCTTTGTGACACGAGTTTGGCAGTCGTTCGTATGCTGGGATGAGTAGGCGCGTGGAAGTGGTCAAATGCTGAGCGTCTATATTTTTCAGGAACAAAAGTCTTGGGCGTCTTGTGGATATGTCACAAACGATGAAACTGTCAGAGGTGAGAAGCGGTAGTTTGACAAATTTGAGAGATGAAAGGCTGGAAAAATTCGGGTTCCAATTCCTGATCGGAGGCAATGGCTTGTAGGTCGGTGGGAGTCGTTGCTACGTCGTTTACTTCAGTGCGGGAGAGGGCATCTGCAACGACGTTATCTGAACTTTAAATGTAACGTATGTCTGTAGTAAACTGCGCAATGAAATCCAAATGTCGGTCCTCTCTCGGTGAGTGTTTGTCTTAAGATGTTTTCAGGGCGAAAACCAGGGGTTTATGGTCCGTATAGATGGTGAATTTCCTTCCTTCGAGTATGTATCGGTAATGTTTGTCGGCTAAGTAGATCGCTAGGAGCTCTCTTCGAAAGGTGCTATAATGGGTTTGTGCAGGTTGCAGTTTGCCAGAAAAGAAGCAGAGTGTTTGAGTGTTGTCGTTGACTACCTGCTGAAGGATCGCACCAACAGCGGTCTGTGATGCCTCCATTTTTAGTATGAGGTGGAAATCAGAACTGGGGTTCAAATGACCCAGGGTGGTGGCTTTCGAAGGAGAGGTTGTAATAGCGTTAAAAGCAATGATAGATTGGTCAGTGAATTGCAAACATTTGTTGTTAGCTTTTAGCAGGTCGGCTAGCGGCGCGAGGAGCTCTGAGCAGCGTGGAATGAATCTGCCGTAATATTTGACCATACCCAAAAATCGACGAAGTCTTCGAGTTGATTGAGGTAAGGGGTAGTCCAAAATAGCAGTGGTTTTATCTGGCAGCGGCCGGACTCCTTCGGAGTTAATACGATGGCCGAGGAAGTCAAGCTGGTCTGTTGAGAAATCACACTTATCTGGATTGATAGTGATACCATATTGTTGGAAACGTTCGAAGACGGCTTGTAAGTTTAATTTGTGTTCTTCGATCGTTTTGCTTGCCACCAACACATCGTCAATGTAAGCGAAAACGTGCTCTAGACCACGCAGTACCTGGTCTATGAAGCGTTGGAACGTTTGAGCGGCGTTCCGAAGACCAAAGGGCATGCGTGTGAATTCGAATAGACCAAAGGGTGTAGTAATCGCTGTTTTGGGAATGTCGTTAGGGGCAACCGGTATATGGTAATGCGCTCGGACGAGGTCGATTTTGGAGAAAACAGTCTTGCCCTGTAATTGCAGTGCAAAGTCGTGGATATGCGGTATTGGGTAGCGGTCAGATACTGTATGACAATTGGGTGCTCGATAGCCACCGCACGGTTGCCAGTCGCCAGTGGATTTCTTGGGAACCAAATGTAGAGCAGAAGCCCGACATGAATTTGAAGGCCGAATGATTCCGAGTTGCAGCATGTGGTCTAAATCTGCTTTGGCGATTCGCAGCTTCTCAGGGTTTAGTCGTCGAGAGCGAGGGTGAACTGGAGAACCAGTGGTCGTTATGTGGTACTCGGCTTGATGTGGCGCACTGGAGACCGAAAAGGACGACTTAGGCAAAATGGGAAACTTTTTGAATAAATCCTCGAAAACCGGAATGTTTGAAATGCGGGCGACGTGAATACCAAGCGGGTATGACGAGGTGTCAGTCTGAATTGATGAGACGGAAAGCGACGTTAAAGAATCCAGAAGCTTTTGCCGCTTGATGTCGACGGCCAGGGAGAAGTTGGTCAGGAAGTCCGCACCGATGATTGAGACGTGCACGTCGGCGACAGTGAAGATCCAGGGGAATGAACGGCGAAGACCCAGGTCAAGCGTCAGTGATTTATGACCGAATGTAGCTATGCAAATGCCGTTAGCCGCCTGTAGTGTCGTTAGTGGGTTAGAAGCGTAGCGTTTCGAGTTTCCGACAGGAATGACGCTAAGTTCTGCACCGGTGTCGACGAGGAACCGCATTCCGGTGGTTCTATCCGTAACGTAGTAAAGGCGACTAGGTGACTGGCCAGTGGCAGCTGTCGCCACTACTGACTGGCCAGTGAGTTTCCCTTTTCAGGGGAGACGTAAACACAAGGAGGTGTGCAACGTAGAGCCTTGTCTTTGAATTTTGTATGGTAACAGCAAAATCGGTTAGGATTCCGAGATGGAGAGTTCGGTTTACGTGAAACCGATCGGGACTTGCCTGACGTATTAGTCCGCTCCATTGCGGTGACAGTGGTCGCGAGCTGATCGATTTGCGTCTGCTTTCGATCGCGCTCAGCCCAAACTTCTAGATACGCTGACCAGCTTCGCCACGAAACAAGCTGAGGGAGTGAGAGCGCTTTCTCGGGTTTCTTTGCCTCTAAATGTTCCTTCGTTAGCCCTTGTTCACTGGGAGTTTATGAACACCGGCTTACAGTTTACGACGATTATATTAGCTGGTGTTGTCATTGATCATTCTAACAACAGCTTAGATACTTCTACAGTGAATCGCGTATTAAGGTTGTCCAACAAATCGCCTTCCGATCTAGTTTTCGGTATAACTTTCAGTGCAGTAACACTGTACCTGGACAGCACACCCAGCACCTGGGTTAGAACTTCAACAAACAACAGACATGTACTGGTATGTCCCAAGGCCGACACGAGCAAGGTCGCAAATGGCCTTCAGTTAAACAGCCTTCAACAAAAAAATCCTTTGAGCTTCATTGATTTATGTATCATTTCGTTGTTTCGATTTCAACTAAATGAAATGCCTTATATTAACAGGGATTACTTATGACATCAAGATTGAAAATGTGACCGCAGCTACAAACAACGCAGTGTTTGGTGGCCCTTATTCGGCAATTTTCGCCGGACAAGTAGGGGGTGTATGTGATGCGGTGAGTAAATGCTAGTGTGAGTAAAAATCATTCGGGAAAAACGCATTCACTTTTCATATTATCGTGATTGAACATTGCTAACTACCATATATATTAAGTGGTGGCGCATTCATTCCCTATTTAAGGTACTGTTTAAATTCTTCGTGGCTTGGTGTGTGAAGATCTAGCTCTACATTGAGGAAATTTTGCCGACATAAGCAAGCAAACGCAAGCCGGAAATCATGATGTCTATCATGAATGGCACGCACATCACCGGTAATCCAACGGAGCGTGCCGGATTCTTCTGACTGTTGCGTCTCAACAATCATTCATGTTCGTATCTTGGTATGGTTACTGTCGTGCAGCGCAGTCCCTTAATGCCTTCTTATTACCGTGAAAAACGGTCTGGATTGCCGCCTAATCGCCTGGTGCGCTTGACCAAACCAAAAAATTCAACGAGCGTGCTAGCCAGCTGTTCTGTTGATCACTGTCGCGTACAAGCGGGTCAAAAAAGTGATACTAAGAATACAACTCATCTGTCAAGGACGAGTGAAGAACAACCGAGGAAATCTGTCTCAATGAAAACGGTTATTCCATTGGTTTTTATGTAGTCCCGTTACTTTCGGAGCTGGTCTTCATAATAATCACCTTGCCAAATGGCTCGATTCTGGTACTGCTGGTTATCACTTACCATTGGGTAGTGCCACACACTTCTATCAAGCAAGTGGAGGAAGTTCTTGGAAAGCCAGTGTCTCAGTTTGTCTCGCCTCCTCTAGTAACGGCAGATCTAGTGGAGAATCTCATTTAAGTCTCTGCTTTCTGCCCAAACATCAAGACACACTTGCAATTGTAAAGAAAAATGAACTGTCACGAGCAAGTGAACTGCTGAAAAACGTGTTTCGCGACACCCACTCGACAATGGAAACGAAGGAGAACAACAAATTGGCGTTCCTAGATGTGCTCATCACGGGGAAAAAAACGGTCAACTGCAAACTGAAATATACAAGAAAGACATGTATACACACCAGATTGTGAACTACTACACCAGCCATCCGAACTGCCACAAACGGAGCTGGGTTGGAACCCTATTCAAGCGGATCAAGAGGCATTGCAAAACAACTGAGGCGAAGAAAAAAGAATAAAACTACGAGACTTTCTGAGCCATTTCCTATGGAGGTGCTTAAGAGACCACCACTGAGCTGATTCGCCCGCACAACAAGAACAGAAACGTCGTGGGAATGACTGCACGACATCTACGGTTACGCGGGATTACAGTGGCCTTCAAGCCTGCAAACACGTTGACAAGAACGCTCTCGAAACCAAAGGGATAGTTGGACATGACACATTTATCAGCGTTTGTGTGTGCGCTACAGTTAAATTTTTTTCGAGTCTCGAAAACCGGTTCCTCTTTCAAATACAAAGTAGTCTGATCGATGTGATGCGTTTGTGATAGAGATCAGTCTTTGGAGCGTCCACATTGAGCGTTCTCGCACATAAATTTACAAACGTTTTGTTCTTCCCGTTCCGCAGATCAAACAATCCATTCAGTCGAAATGGTCCCAACTGTGCTCAACAGGCATAGTCTGTTCCGGACGCTTTCTTAACGAAATGGCAAACAAATTGCATTTCTCGGTGGTTCTGTACTCTTCTTCCCACAAACTGATACACTGTCCTCATTTGCGCAAGCCTGAGACATTCAACACTCTAATGGGCGTGATGGATGAACGGATTTTTGGAAAGAGGATTGAAGGGACAAGGGTGACATTAGAACGTATGTTTCGTACTTTTGTAGCCTCCAATTTCGCAATTTTTCATGAAGTGGTCATTTGAATTGTTTAATTTTGAGCCCACCAAGCCGTCAAGAGATCAAATAAGTTGACTGAAACCTGAGGCTTTGATCTAGGTTACCTCAAGATGGATAGTCAAATAGTGTGAGGTCCCTTGTAAGTGTGTGTCACACCTGCACGCATATTTTGTGTTCCATATCGGTGAGTTTTCTTCCGGCACTGGAGCGGTAGACAGTGGTCAGATATAACAGGAACTTATAGTAATTTTTCCAGTTTAGTAACTGCAATATTCGCACCATTAAGAGAACATACACGTTGTTTACAACAGATATTATAAGACAGAGCTTCATATAGATCCATCGAAGCGCACAGTTAAAGTCAACCTAGCGTGTACGTCAGAGTAGCTCCCCAGGCGCGCTGATAACATTTGCTGGTTCAGATAAGTGTCCCATACGAGGGTTTCAAGAAAGCTCTGGTAGAGACTAACATCTGAGCAAGTTGACGAAAGAGAAGTTGCGTTTTGATGCTTGCAAATGAAGCAGTCAATCTCAGGTGATTTGCAACCCCAGGTTTGTTTTCGTACGTAACTGATATCCGGATCCAAACAATTGGATGCGATTTGAAAATGAACATTCGGACTGCTCGATTGGACTCAGCCACACACCAGTGAATCAGTCATCCATTCGAAGGGCTCCTCACACACTCGCTATTTGGGACTTAGGAGAGTCACAACGGATTGGATACGCACATTCCTTGAGGTCGATTTCCTCACGAAAATTGGGTGATCCTGGTGAAAGGAGGAAGGCCTTCGCTGCGGAGTTGTTTATTAGAGAAACACCAGCTGAACAGTTACAGACTATTGGATAGGGGAGCAGAACTCCCATATGCAAAAGCTCATGCAAAAAGTTGAATATCCATCTTCTCCTTGAACACGTATTCCTGAACTTTCCTGGATATTCAATGACTGTTACTCAAACGCAAGAAAATGCGACTCCACAAATTCCGTAATAGATCTCACTTTTCAAGAGACGCGAGGCAGAGTTACGAGAAAACATACTACTCGCACGCATCATCAGTAGAATCCACCGTTACACTGGTATCCTCACACCGACAAATATTCGATTGCGGCCATGTATTTGAACTGCTCGTTTTGTTTGCTCGGACACCCGAAATGCATTCAAGCGATAACACACACACATATGTACACCATATTGGCGTTCGCCTGGCTGTACACTGTGTACACGAGAACGGTACTAGTTAGGTCTTCAGTGGTTACCCCTTTCCGATTCTGTAACGATTGTCCATCCGTATGACAGTCCAGGTGCCATGTTGCTTATTCATTAATGGGGAGAGAGAGACAGTGTCATACTGAGGTCTTGCATATTTTCTGAAGTTAAACATGCACCACTGGGTTAAATTTCCGAAGGCACTCAGCGGTCACTTTCACGTTTGCAGGCTAATTGTATTTTTTCGTCACACGGTTCCACCACAATACCGTGAATGCCTGCTTAGGTTTCAAATAGCAGTGGCTGTTTTCGTAAGCAAACGTATGAATCTGACTTTGGTTTGACATAAATGCGTTTTCCTTTTCTAGTCAAATAAAGAGAGCATTTCCGTATAAAGTGTAGCAGTGTAGCGTCGCAAATTTGGTTCAGATTGTCTGCCAAGTTGGAAAACATCTCTTTTACCTATCGCCCTGAGACATATATCAAGACTGCAGCATTGTATTGCAACCTGAATTGCTCAATGATGCCCTCGCACACGTTCTTTCACCCGAGTTTAAAAGGACCTGGTTTAGATTTTTGGTGATGAGCACGATAGGCAGCAGCTTCGCCGGGAAGCAAACCATTTCAAAACCTCTGGCTCATCACACTCTTATTTCGAAACATTTGGTGGAGAAAGCCTACCGGACTACTGCCTAGTGTGACCGCAGCAACAAAACCACTGGCATGGTGATAAAGAAATAGTATATAGGTCTTTTGGCTGAAAAATCGTTGCTGGAAAAAACACTCAACAGCATATACCACGGGATACAATCTGCGTGACCCGAAATCGATTGGTGGTTGAGTGCTTACAACCGATTTTTCATGCTCACCACACATTACTACTACTACGTAAACAAAATGAGTTGCCATGTTCATTCCATGTCTATATATTTTCTATACGGCTCAATCACCTGCAGATAATGAAGTCAAACAAATGAAAAGTAAGTGCACATCTTAATGTTAGTCTCACCAACCTTTGATGGGTGCTCACGTGACCGTGAGTAATCCTATTTTTCGTAAGACTGTACTGGGTCAACCACTGTCACCGGAATTTTCGGTTGGTCGTTTGTAGCATGTTCAACCTGTGGATCGGATCATTCCTAGGTTTTTCGGCTCTATTTTCGTTCCTTCGAATTTCAGCAATGCCCCAAACGGTACTACGCCTGAACAGTTTACTACTTAAATCTGGTCTTTCTGATCAAATCTTGTGCTGTACAATCTCATGGTTCTTTTCCGCATAGTCGCTCTGTTAAAATTGAAACTGAACCGTGATGATTGGAGTGAGTTGCCCGTTGCCGGATCGGAATTATATCAGTCAACCAAAGCGGAAGTTTCACATCAGGTAAGACATGCGAACCGTTTCGTCATCTAATTTCCGCTAATACGTTTTGATTCAATGAGCTTCCGTCACAAAATCCTGAAAACATATTTATTGTAAATGAAATTAGTTGAACTGAACACTGAACGATATGTTTGAAGTAGCTCTTTCGCAACTCTTCCGAATGTCTTGTCCTAAATAACAGTGAATTTACCCCGGTGTGGTCCTAAAGCCAAGTGAACCTCTTAACACAGCCTTGGGGAGAGGCTACTAATTGTTGATTCCACGTAGTTCTGACCAAAATTGACGTCTAGGTGGGTAGTGCACTAGTGATTGAGTGCCCCACAATCAGTAACTATTTTTGAGGTCAACTGGGGTTTGCCTTATATCCCTTACCAACACAGCAGCTCATTCGGTGAACAGCTGAAATCAGCACAACACATCACTTTGGGGATTTCCGTAGATAGTAAAAACTGGCAGAGGAAAGCGTGCAGAGTGATGTCATGTAGAGTGGGAAACCGCAGTCCCGTATTCTCACCAAAGCGAACCAAACATTGCCGTTTTAATGATGAAGCCAACCCAGCAACTCTCCGGGTGACAATCGCCATATACTGACCAGAAATGTAACACTGAAGTATTTTGTTACCATCTGGCCTGATGTGCGGATGCATCAAATGACTAAGGGCAGGCGTAAAACTGTGCAAATATTTACATGTCAGTCTTGTAACCACAGCAATAACAGAGTCCAGATTGATGCTTTATTGCCGTACAACTACAAAGTCATAGTTGGAGCCCCATGTTGAAAAGCGAGGAGAGTCAATTGCGAGGGGACTTGATAATAGCTTACCGAAAGCATTCCGAGATATTGGTACTTTGAATCATCAAATCGGACAAATTGGGAAGAAACCGAGAACACAAAAATACTGCTGAGGTCGGTTAGCCGCCATTTCGATATACTGTTGCCGCATGCGCAGCAAATGACAGAGCCACCGAAGTTAATGCGGACGGATAGTTTCCACAACTTCATTGCAGAAACCATGACACTGCATTCGTCACTGCAGCCTGGTGGATTTCGAAGTGTCTTTCGACACCGCGGTGACTTCATCAGAAACACAATCCCCTCAGAGCGGGATTTTCCAATTTAGAGGTGCAAGTAGCTTGCCGAAAGATGGTATGATGGTGGCCAGTTTATTCAACAGAACAAACATATCTTTGGCCATGGAGGACAGTGTTGGCCTTCCCAAATTCTCCCCATCGTTACGTCGGTGGCAAAGGAGAACCAGAATGGACAGAGTGAACATGACTGAAAGATAACTACTCACAAGGTTGCTAAAAACTCCTCGACAGCCCACGACCGGTTTCGCCCTTCTTGGGGCTCATCAGGTAGGCGCAGTCCCCGAGTTTCCGTCAGCCTTATGACTGAAAGATACTAACTTTCGTTCGGAATTCAAAATGACTGAAATTATGCGAATTACGTGGCTTTGATGAATATTTCCATTTGCATATCAATTTGGTTTTCATGAGAGACTCAACTGAGTCTCTCGGTTATGATATTCTTCAAGTGAGTGTGTTGCACAAAGACCAGCCCATGTTTTAGCTGGTAGGATATTCGGCATGTCGCAGTTTATTATAATAAAGGAAACTACTCAAAAGGTTACTGAAAACTCTTCGATAGCCCACGACCGGTCTCGCCCTTCTTGGGGCTCATCAGGTAGGCGCAGTCCCCGAGTTTCCATCAACCTTATACTCCACTGGGAACCAAACTTAGCGAAACTCGACTTACTCACTTACCAATTTGTTTTTGACGAGTGCCCCACCTGGAATTAAGTTGAACCCCTTGTCTGTGACGGGGAGTTCCCAGTTAAGTAACTCCATCGAGAAATAGAACTTGCGAGCTTACCTTTCCAGTGTGAATTGCATGTGTGAGCAAAATACCCCGCTAGGGTGGGAGGAATCATGCTACCTCAACAACCGCGCAATTAGTTCAAGGTTGAATCAGTGGCCCTGACCTTGTTCCGTTTACTGAGATGGGCTGAATCGTGTCTTGGTCTTTCAACATTGGTCGCCAAACAGAATCCAATCCTTAGCTTCCAATCGTAAGCTGTTCAGATCCTCGGGCACGATTCGCCATAAAATCAGGTCGATTTTATCGACATTGTAGGAATTATGCGTTTGTGAAAAGCAGGGCCGATCGGTGAGGAGATTATTCTAGGAACAGCCTTCAGATCCAGAGCAGGGTTTGAACACAGAAGACATCTGGGATTAGCCAGAATGAAGAGTGAGCGGATTAATTTTGGTGCCCATTTTCGCTTTATTCAATGAGGCAACTGGTAACAGGAAACCCGTACGAATACTCGGGTCTTTTAATGGTCAGCTGCTTACTTCTTTTATAACCGGACGAGACAGCATTTGTGCATTTCCAAGGAAGGCACTGACACCTTTTTATTAGTGCTTTGACATCATGTGCAAATTTCCTTGTGAAATACCACACCAGAGAACACCAGCAATTTTAGATCATAGCTTTGGAACTGGACCGAGGGGGCAAAGAAACTGGAAGCAGTTCGATTTTGAGGGAGTGCTCTGTCAAAATGTCAATAACTATGACTGTACCGATTTTTTACGCTCAGATGACGGTTTACTCGATTTGGCTAGCAGTACATCTTCCGCTCTGGATATTCACATATAACTATTTTTAGAACTAAGTCCCGACGTTCATCTCAGTGCAAACCTGTCTCATTGTCGCTTCGGACTACACTGGTAATCAACTTTGTTTCATCCATTGTCTCCCTCTGTCAACAGCTGACGCAGATCATGCGGATTTCCAAGGTCCAAGGGACCGAGTGTAACTTTGAATTTTCCGGCTTTGCGCAAGACGATGACGGTGCAGTTGCGGCATTCGCTCTGCTTTTCTTCGATCCACTGAAAATCACACTCCCATCAGTGGTCCAGCAACTGCAAAATGGTCTGGCAGCCATTCGGTCCCTAAAACTGACCGATAAGCAAATCGATGGTCTGGATTATGGTGAGTGAGCAGTGTGCGTTGATTCCTATCTCATTTACTTGTTGGACTGTCTTCAGATCATTTCCACAACCTTGATGTCGGATCACTTTGCCCGGGATGCATATCATGCATGTTGTGCTCCAGTCCGTGAACAATACCGCATCAAGTATTCACAGTTCCATAAAGGAAACTACTCACAAGGTTGCTAAATACTGGTTCGCCCTTCTTTTATGGTGAGTGAGCAGTGTGCGTTGATTCCTATCTCATTTACTTGTTGGACTGTCTTCAGATCATTTCCACAACCTTGATGTCGGATCACTTTGCCCGGGATGCATATCATGCATGTTGTGCTCCAGTCCGTGAACAATACCGCATCAAGTATTCACAGTTCCATAAAGGAAACTACTCACAAGGTTGCTAAATACTGGTTTCGCCCTTCTTGGGGCTTATCAGTTAGGCGCAGTCCCCGAGTTTCCGTCAACCTTATGTTCCACTTGAACCCAAATTAGACTATTTTCGAGAAATACACTCATCTGCAAATCGATTTGGTTTTCACGGGAGACTCACAGTTACTATTAATCCAGCTGAATGTTAACTATACATGTATCAAAATAATTTATGTATTGCACACGGCAGCTAGTTACACCACACTATGAATGAAATGATTTCAGCGGAAAACGGTATGAAAACCGGTGAGTCCTGTCTTTTTTCTGTTGCATAGATTATTCGAAATCCAATTCTCTGTTTCACTGGAGTGTTTTCGATCGAAACCCAGAAAAAAATGAGCTCTGAATATAACTTCACCTCATGATGATTCCCCCATTTTTTTGCTTACCCCGCCTTTGTACTTTGTGGAATTGCATTCCGCAATCAGTGATCCCACCACCATGTCTGCATATTTTGCTGAGTACTCCGATTTGTAAAGTTGCTTTCCCAGACTGCACATCTCCATTTTCTTGATCTGCAACGCAGTTTGGACGCCGAAAATGAAGTTTGCAACCACACAACCAAATCCGGCTTTGCCTGAGAAAACGCGAAGCGAACAGGAACTGAATTCACTGATTAAGATGTTTGTGAGTCAGTTGTGATTTCATGACCTTGTAAACGTTCTCGTAAGCGTTTTTTTAATTCATTAAAACAAGCTCTCTTTCGTAGTGACGGAAGAAGGGTTATTCGTCTCTTGGCCACTCCGAAGTGACGTATATACTAGGTCGAAAACGAACAATCCCGGTTCTGGGTCGTCCTTGAAAGGCGGCATTGCTGTTGGGCAACGGTTCTTCCGTTGACATGATCGGGGAAGCTTATTTTCGGCTGTGAGTGATGTTTTACTTTGCACTCGAATGAACTATCACATGTGGTCTGCTACTGAGGAGATCCTTTCCACTGCCTTATCGTAACGGAAGTGCTTCCACGAAGCAAAGGCGCATCCCCGAAGAAGTCGGTTCAGAGGGACTGGATAAATACTGACTTTAAAATGTGGAAGCGCCTGGGTGGACGAATCATGTTCTTCTCAATAGACATTAGAAGGTAATACATAGTCTTCACGGGTTTTCAAATTACGTCTGATTATGTATGGGCCAGGACTCACTGTGGATAATCCTATTAGCTAGGGTGTCCCTGAAGAGCTAATAAACCTCAATCAATCACCGGCCTAAAATCACATCCGGGTTTATAGCCAGGAGAACACGGAGTTCGATATAGTGTTCAGTTCAAGTGGTCTGTTAGTGATCTGACTGCAAGGTAATTAGGTTGCTTATCAGGTGACAAGCATTAACAAATGTCCGTTTTACCAACACAACAGGTACGCCTTGATAAATATAGACAGATATACAATGCGAAAAGTAGAATAAGCCGAAAAGTGAGAACAACTGTTGAGAGTTCCTGAGTGGAGTTCCGGACGCGGGCAGGACGTATCTTCTCTGCAGTGTAGCTGCTACACGTGTTCCGTGATTACCCATGGAGCCTTGTGGGGCTCGATTGACTTCGTTTCATATGCGCGCG